ATATTCCTTTCAGTCATTTGGTCATTAGTACTCTCTCTGAGAGTCATTGAGACACTTGTGGCCTCCAAGTGGCCTCAACGACTCTTAGAAAGAGTGCAAGGAATATGAATTCTTCCGTTCTCCATCAGAAGAGCTGAACTGAACTGAAGAAGCACCTTGGATGAAAAGCAAAACATCTTCAAGGAAAACAAAAAAAGTCCAGTTGCCTCTTGAAAAAAAGCACTTTTGGGATAACCATGACCTGGCTGACTGAGAATCTCCATAGACTTCAGCAGAAACCATAACACTGATTCAAAATGTTGGGTATGATGGCAGTACTATTAAAAAAAAAGACTGCACTTCATTCCCTCCCCATGTTCTGCATATTCTTATAGTCTAACTTCCCAAAGGGCATGACTCAGAATCTGGGGGTGGGCAACAATGTTCTGAACTAGTTTGGAATCATTAATGGATTAAGCATTGCTTCCTTAGAGCAGCACATGTAGCAAGCAGTCCCCAAATATCAAATGTTTTGAAGCTTGCTGTTAAATATGTTGTTAACGAAACATTTTAGACTTTGATACCACTATAAACATTCAATACTTCCAATTGATTATCAGCTGAAAGGAATGAAAAAGCCAATTAAATTTCTCACTCAGAGCTGTCAGAGGAAGATCATATGTACATTTCTCCTTGGCGAGCCATTTTTGCAGTATTTCCAAAGGGATTCTTGGCATTCAAGACCATTCAGGCAAGAATTTATAATAACTTTGTGGCAAGTGGCCATTCATTTTATTTCCAAAGTTCGGATTATACAAACTAAATGCCTATTTTAGGCTATGTGAATGAAAACAAAACATTAAAAGATCAAGTAACATTACCTATCCAGGTGAAATTTTTGTTAAGGCAGAAAAAATTACAAATAATGATTTCCTATATCAGGGGTGTCAAACTCACGGCACCACATTGTCGTCACGTGATGTATCGTGACTTTTTCCCCTTTTGCTAAAACAGGGGAGGGCGTGGCTAGCCCACGATGCATCCGCCCTGCATGCTGCAAGCTTGAAACCCCTGTCCTATATAATGAACCACTGCCGATATCATGGTAATAGCTCAGTATCTCAAACATACTGAAAAAGACAACAAACTGCAAATAAATAAATTTACTAAGCTTTAATGATTATGCATAGAAGACCAAGATTCCCAATAAAACATCTCCAAAATCTTCAGCTAATAATTCTAGATTTTCAGAACTGACATACATCAGCTTAAGTCCTATTTTAAATATTTCCAGCAAAGACAAAACAATTAAGATTTGTCATCCAAATCCTTGTAAAACAGCTTTTACCTAACTAAATTTCTCCTCACATATTACACTTCAACTCTTAATGAAAGTCAATCAGTTTTAAGCAATATTGCGTTGGACAACTTCTGCCTTCATTTAATAACTAAGTAATAAAGAGAAAAGTTTCATTATACTGGTTGCACACACTATTTCTTCATGAGTATTCAGAATTAAACAACAGGAATTATGCTTAACACCAACGGGAATTATTCTTAACACCAAGATGGATATTGTTTTTAAAACCAGACTGCCCCATGCATTAGGAGACTTATATGTGTATATATTAATCAATATTTCAGTTTTAGAGCTTTTGGAAATAAACTGTACTCTAAGGAACATCTTTAGGAAGTCACATTAACATGCAGGATTTTTTCCTTAAGCAAAATTCAGGTAAAATGGGCCAAGTTTAGGTGGTAAGTACCTGAAGTTTCTATGTTAGGAATTAAGAATTTCTTCTGTAATTTATAAGTCAGCAATAAGAATATATGTTCACAGTAAGAATAGTGACTACCACTTATTCTAAGTTGATTTAACAGCTAGAAAGTCATTTACAAATAATTTATGAACAAACAAGTTCCAATAATAATTCAATGGACTGACTCACTCTGGTTGAAACTATGTGATAAATTTCCTCAACATAAATCTGATTTCAGACTCTATAAAGCTTTGGGAACTGTCAGATTTGATTATTACATTTTGCTGTCATCTATGGATTCCACAGCACTGAAGTGCTTATGTCTCATAGCAACACAGTAAGATGCGCAAACTGTGCCAGATTCCTCATCACCAAAGAAGGTTTGAATAAACAGTTCCACATTTTAGAAGTAAGAGTTTCAAAGTGGTCTTTAATTCAAATGCAGTAAGTAAACATTACATATATATTTCTGATTAGAACTTGCATAGATCTTTATCTTGGAAGCTACTGTGTGCAAAAGATGAAAAATGATAAAAACGCTCTCAAATGAAGCTCAAACTACTAGTGATAACATAGACACATTTATGTAGTTTTCTCAGTAATTCTAAGAGACAAACA